GTGGGGGGGCAGGGCTGTCCTGAACTATAGCGACCCAGTGCAGTGCTCGGTCCCGGGGCCTCACCTGGACACTCTTGTGGGCTATTTCTCCAGGGGTCGGCCAGTTTGTGGCATCCCCGAAGTCACCGACCTGGAGAGTGAATGGAGGAGAGAAACCTCATTAGTGAACTGCACGGCAGCCCCCAAGTATTGCAGTCCCCCCTACAGCACAGGCCCCTCTACCTGCTGCAGGGCTTTTGACCGAGGCAAGTTTCCCATGTCTCAGGGAAGAGACAAGGTGCATCAGACCAGGGGATGGCGAAATAACCTGCCTGCGGGGGAAATCTGCCTCCTCCCAGGCCAACCGATGCCCCGAAGCCACAAGACACGTAACCCTTAAAACCATCTCTAATGGAGGCATCTTGAAGCCATGGATGTCCGTGCCCTCGCTCCAGGTTCAACCCAGCTACTGCTCACATCCCTTAAGCTGTGGGATGGGCGGGGACCAGCAATACCAGCTCCTTCCCACTCCTGGCTATCATACACTGAGCATCCCTGGCCTGTTGAGCTCCTCCAGGCCCCTCAAATCGCTGCTTTGCTGGACAGGACGTTTGCTCTAAGACTGCCAGATTTTGCAGGCATCGGGGCTCTGGAAAGGAGCCCCGACATCCTACTGATTTGCTGCGCAGCTGCCGGGCAGAGCCCTGGAGCCTCCTGCCTCACTCCTCCAGCTGTTTCAGCGTGAAGGCAGCTGGCGCCACCTCGTGTCCAGCGCTTGCAGGACCCCTCGGCCACAGCGCTACCAAGCCCAAGCGCAGGGAGGCTGCATGGGTCTCCATCCCGCCCGTCCCAACACACGTAAGAGCACTTCTTGGCAATGATTTCTGGGACGAAGAACATCAGCAGCGCCACGCTGGGTCAGACCAGTGGTCCATCTAGCCCAGTCCTGGCCCTGGCCAAGCCATCTATCTGACCACGACAAAGGCTCTGGCTGGGAGGACCGCTGAGGACCACCTTCCTGTCCCTGGTGCAATCCCGTCTCTGGGCAGTTTCACTAGGCAGCGTCCACTGGCTCCTCAGACTCTTTCGAGGGGCAATGGGCCCTGTCCAGTGTGCTCTGCTCCATGCCCCCCGCTTGGACAGGGACCACTGAATTGGATAGCTCTTGCAATCCATGCCCTATTCAGTACCCTCCCTGACAACCACTGCTATAGGGTTAGATGCCAAGGGAAGCATGCCCTGTACGGTACCCTCCCTGACAACCACTGCTATAGGGTTAGAGATGCCAAGGGAAGCATGCCCTGTACGGTACCCTCCCTGACAACCACTGCTATAGGGTTAGAGATGCCAAGGGAAGCATGCCCTGTACGGTACCCTCCCTGACAACCACTGCTATAGGGTTAGAGATGCCAAGGGAAGCATGCCCTGTACGGTACCCTCCCTGACAACCACTACTATAGGGTTAGAGATGCCAAGGGAAGCCCCTCTAGCCAGGCTGTTTGACAGGCAGTAACAGACGCATCACCCATGAATGTATCCAGTCCCCTTTTGAACCTGGCTACGCAGCTATTTGGTCTCTGGGGCCCTTCATGCAGACGCTCAGTGCTCCCCACTCCCTCTGGTTCGGCCTGGTGTTTGCCGGGAGCAAGAGGCAGGCTGCAGCTATGGGATGGGAGCGCGGCGCTTCCAAGGACAGGGACAAAGAGGACATGATGCAAGTGCCCAGCCAGGCACCCCTCCACGAGCAAGGCAAGACAGGCTGGGTAGTCAAGAAGGTGGCTGCTCCTTGTGTTTTGCCCCAAAGGAGGGTTTTACTTTAAGCACCTCCAGGGGTGGGCCCAGCTCCGGGACACGGCAGCCGGCTCACAGGTTTCAGGAACGTGGCCTCTGCCTTAAAAATTAGCAAAGCCGGGCCCAGCCAGAGAGGGGAGGCTGACGCACTTCCAACCATGCTCTCCATCACGCTGCTGCCCTGACTCCACAAGTCTGTCCCAGCTACACTGCAAGGAACTACAGTATTTCCATTAAGCGCCTCAACTCGCCTAGCGTAGCTGTGACGGACCAGGGGTTGCTCCCAGAGGCTCCAGTGGCAGCAAGGAGCACCCGTTGTTCAGGCCTGCAGAGAAAGGAGGGAAACAGCCTCTCGGGGGACGGCAGTGCTCCTGGGCACCGATCCATGGACAGGACAGCGCGTGGGGGCCTATTCCCAGCTGCGCCACTGACCTGCTGTGCAACCTTGGGCATGTTACTCCCCCTCCTGTATTATTTCAGCCCTTACCGCCTGTCTGTGCTGCACCTAGCGCCGCAGGCCCCGATCACATCCGGGCCCAGCTAGGACTGCAATAGAGATACCGAATGCCTGGCTGAAGGAGGCTGGTTAAGACACCCAGAAGCAGGGGCGTGTGGAGGGCAAGACGTACCTTGCTTCCCTTTCGCTGTCTCGGGTTCGCAGCCCTCACCACTTTGGCAGGCGTTGAGTGCTCTGCAAAAGTAAAGAACATGAGTGTTAGGACATGCAGCCAGAGTGGGATGGCTCTGGGGTTGCGCTGGCAGGCAGAAGACCTGAGAGGCACAGCACTGGCCAAGCACCCTCCTCCCCTAGCAGCATGGCACTTACTAGGTTCATACAGCACCGTGCACAGGACCAAGCAGTGTCCTGAAACGCCTCAAGAAACCATATGGCAGACTCAGCACCAGCTATGCCAGCTTCTGGCACTTCTTGCAGGTACGGCCAACGCTGCGGTTCAGCCTTAGCGCAGCAGTAGCCACAGCAGGGCCAAGGGGAAAGAGAAGTGCCTGGGCCCCCTCTCGTACTTGGTGCTTGACCTGCGCTAGGCAAGTGCTGCCAGCTCCGAGAGGCACTACGCCACCTTGACATGCTGTCCGCACAGCCCGACCGATGCTTGCTGCAAGCAGGAGTGCTCCCAGCGAGGAAGATGCGACTCTCGTGGCCAGGCAGGCGTGACGCGAGCTGTTCCTCACCGTGGCCTGGACCGCCACATGGTCCCAGCCCGGCCCAGGCAGCGACCAGCCGGTGGGGTATGGAGCCAGGGCGGCCCGTGGCAATAGGAGAGAGCGGGTAGGGCTGCCCCACCAAATCCACACCCCCTGCCTTGGAGGAGGTGGGCAGAGACAAATAACGCCAACACTAAGGATGGGACGCGGAACAGCCGATGCACAGCACCAGCGCGTGCCTGCTCCTATCCGGGGGCAGGGGGAAGCTGAAGCAGAGCAGACTACCCCTGCCCGGAGCACACGGGGCTGACTTGCTAGTTTCCATCCTCGACAAGATACTATGTGCGAGTCACCCCTGCCTCCCAGCATAACTGGCTTGTCTCTCCGTGCACCAAGGGTGGGTGGAGGAAGTGTGGTGGTCGCAGCCCATTTGGAGATCAAGCAACAGCTGCAGGATCTTCCTGCCTCTGTGGCTCCACAGAGGAAGGGAAGTTGTTAACGGCCACTTCTGCCAGGGCAGGCAGCGCGGGGCCCAACCTGCCTGGGACAACGCGCAGCAAAGCCATGGCCAGGATGGGAGAGAAAGGGCCTCAGAGCTGAGCTGAGCTCCGGGGTCTGGCCTGTGTTTCCATCTCCTCTGTAACGCAGGGCAGTCTGCACCCACTCCCTTGACCCTACAGCAACCCCCAGCTTCCTTCCTGCCCCCTCGGCCTGTTCGATAGCCGGGGCTGAGCACAGGGGCAGACGCAGCACCCACCACAGCATAACACGGCTAATTACAAGGACCGACTGCCTGGGTGTGAGCACCAGAGGAAGGAGGACCTCTCCCAGCTTTCCCCAGGCACCTGCCGGACAGAGAAACCTTCCTTCCCACAACACAGAGGCAAGGATGCCAGGAACAGCCTCCTCCCAGCACCCACCCCCGTGTTTCTGCAATCCCTGGTACCAAGAAAGGAGCGACGCCAGCTTTGCTCTACCCCGCGCCTTCAGGGGGTTCTGGGCCTCAGGCTTAACCCATAAATCGCTCCTCCTCCGAGTCTGTACAGTTCAACTGCTGCTCCCACGAGCTGCGCAAGGCATCACCCAGAGCTGTGGGAGACTGAGCAACCATCTGCAAACGGCTTCACCTCTGCACGGCGAGACGTGCTGGGGAAGGCACGACAGTCACTACCCCCCCAGCAGTAAATGCCCGGGGAAGCCTGTTCGCACCAAGAGATGCACCCTGGTTCAGCTGGCTCATAGAAGGGGGCTCGTACGAGCTTGGCAAGCCACACAGGGGACCCCAGGCTCTCGCAACCACGTGACAGTTTTTAGTAGCCCTGGGGAAGTATATTTTTTTACTAGGTAGCTGCCTTAAGGAGCAGGAGTCCCTTGCTTATCCGGGCCCTGTGGAAAGTAGACCCTGGATCACACCCAACCTGGTGGGTGCAAACATAAGGCAGAGAGTGCTTGGGCATGCATACAGATTCCCTGCACCAGCCTTGGTAACAACATCGCTCGAATGCCCCTGGATTGCTGCACGCAACGTGACTTCGCATCCCACTTCCTCCTCCCTACCACTTCCTATCCGGGAGTCTCGTGCACCTGAGCACTTCTCATCTCCAAACGGGGAAGGTCTCCCGGGACTCAGGTCAGCGGTGTCTGCTAGATCTAGCAGCTGCAGTGAGTTGGTAGCTGGCTTCCCTTAGGCAGGTCCCCCTCTGCTCATATCAACAGTGGTCTGTGGCATGCAATTGTGCGCGTGCGTAAGGACAGATGCACTTCCAATAGCCACATCTCTCCTCTCTGCCAGCCCCCCCCCCCATGCTGCTCACAGCTTTGGCACAGCCTCACACTGCACATGCAGCGAGCATCCCTGTCCCACAACTGCTCCTCCCTGCAAAAAACCCCAAAAACCAAGGTCAGCATCCAGGAGGAGGCCATCAGGAGCAGCAAAGCCAGCTTGCAAGCTGCCATGCAGAGACTGCAACATGGCCCCTGCTGCGCAGGGGAAAACCAGCCTCATAGGAAGCCCTGCTGTGATGGGTGGACGGGGTTAGTTCAAAGCCATCATGAAGGAGGACCGAGGGGGCAATAAACCAGATAGTTATTGGAAAGGGGTGCCAGGTGGCAGAGCAGAACTGCCCATCCTGCTCCTTTGATCTCTCGCACAGGACATGTGGACTCGGCCCAGGATCAAGACAATTCCCGCCTGGGCCTTGCAGCTGGTGAGTCACTTGCGCAGCCAAAGTCCCTGGCTCTAAGCCTGGCTGAGGCCTCCATAAGCAACAGCAGTAGAGCAGAGGTTGCCCTGCCGAATCCCTCGGGCGTGGGCACTTTGCAGGGAACAGGCTTCAGCTCCATACCCTGGGACCTGCCCAACATCAGAAAGCCCCAGCGCCCGCACAGGGGAGCCTGGGGCAGCTTTGGGCGCAGAGGAATTGCTTGTCACCAGCCCCTGGCTGCTCTGCTCCATGCCCACAAATGAAACCAGCTAAATATAGCTCCCAAAGTCACCTCGCGCGCCAGCAGGACCCCGCGGCCTGGTTTGCTGATGCTCCAGGGGCAGAGGCTCGGCGGCACCGCAGAAAACCAGGCCACTCGCACGCTCCAGTAGCTATGTGGTGCGGCCCCTGCAACGCACGGGTGTGTGCGGGGGGCGGGGGGTGTAACTGCACACTTGCAAGGGACAGAGGCAGCCTGGGAGCCGGGATGCTGCCACACTGATCCTGGCAGCCTTGTAAGATTTATGCCGGTTATTCTCCTCGTTCCCCTTGCTGGAAGCTTGGGAGACGGCTTCCTTTGTACCCCAGGGGGCCAAGAGGGGTTAGGAGTAATCAGCGGTGCAAAGAAACCTCACAGCAAGGGTCCTGGGGAGCTCTGGGCGCAAAGAAACAGTGGGGCAGAGCTGAGCCCCTCCTGGGAAGGGGAAAGGGAAGCCCTAAAGGGGTGTGCGAGACAGTGGACTGAGCCTGGGGGATTCCCAGCACAGCTGCATGCATCCACAGCCCACAGCCAGCCTTCCCTGGGTCAGGGGTCCCAGCCAGCGAGCCTGCAGGGCCAAGCTGTGAGCAGCAATGAGTCAGCTCAGAGCAGACCTCCCGCGGTGCAGGGACGCTGGGCAAAGCTTGTGCCCACCCCCGATGCTGCAGAAGGGGAAGGGGAAGGGTCAGGCACGTGTCCGAGGGGTACCCCCAGCCCAGTGGAGCCAGCTCATCTCTGATAAGGGCCCCCCCCACTTAATATACAGGTGTAGGCGGGAGTGTATGCAAGCCAGGCAGAGCCCCCTGACCCCAGCCAAGCACGCCCCGATGGTGAGCAGTGTGCGCCAGGCCGCCTCCCCCAGTCTGGATATACTGACTGGAGCCTGCACAGAGACGGGAGTAGCCCACGCAGCAAAAGTGCCAGGGAGCGACTGCTTTCTTCCGCAGCGTGAGCACCGGGCTGCATTTGCAGCGAGACCTGGGGCAGCGCAGGCGGGCCACGAGGCTCCCGGAGAACTGCGAGGTACCACCGCAGTTCCCGCACAGGCGGCACGGACAATGCAGCAGCATAACTCTTCCTCTCCGCTAATTAGCACCTGCAACGCGCTGGCAAGAAGAGGCGCTGAGATCTCGAGCACTGTGCTGCGGCCAGGAGACGTATTTATGAGCTGCCTGGGGAAATCCTCCTCTACCAGCCAGGTCTCTGGTCGCCTGCGGTCCATCAGGGGCTTGGCGCACAGGGGGAAATACACTGCAGAGGCTGGCTGGAGGCAACAAGTCACCCAGCTGGACACACCATGCCCCGGGCAGTTTGCTCCAGCAGATGGGTTGGGAGTTTAACCCCCCCCCTCCACACTGCAGCTAAAGGGCTGCCCTCTTCCCCCTAGAATCTTGTGACCTACGGGTGCCTAATTCCCTTGGGCTCCCAGGAAAAACCCACACAGGCTCTCTACAAGTCAGCCAGGATTTAAATGCAGCAGACAGCGACGGGGAGACGAGCAGCCACTCCTCTCTCCTGCTAGGATGGGTGCAGGTTGCTCACATCCGTGGGATACCAAGGCCACGAGCCAAGCCTGGAGCGTGGGAAGCCACCAGCCACCAAGAGGAAAGCTTCCCCGGGGGCGGCTAGTGACCGGGAAGCCCGCTCCGAGGAAGGAGCCAGACTCCTCTCGAGCATCTGCGGCTGGTGGCTGTCAGACGCGGCAAGGACCACAGAGAGCCCGCTCTGACCCAGCCCAGCAGCTGCTGGCGGGGATGTGCTGACTCACCAGCAGCCCTGCCGACAGCTCACGCAGCAGCTTCCAGCAGCCCCCGGCTGCTCTACAGGGGCAGGGAGGGGAGCATGACCCCACTGGAGGCTTCTTTAGGTGCATCAAGGCACTGCAGGCTCCACTTTCCTCCAGGTTTGTGATCAAAGAACATTTGGGAATCTTTGGTAGTAGCTCAGGGATACCTTGCACCCCAGCAAGGCCAGGCAGAGAGGGGGCTGCAAAATGACCCTGCCAAAGCTGCCCCAGTGTCAGTGCCACATGTCTTGTGTAGGGGGAAGCCCCTTGCAGTCACT